CTCTCTCTCTCTCTCTCTCTCTCTCTCTCTCTCTCTCTCTCTCTCTCTCTCTCTCTCTTTCATTCATTCTTCCTTTCCCTTTCGAGACGCAGGAGGAACACGCGGAGAGAACGCGCGGTCGGAAAGGAACCGCGAACGAGCCGGCAGCATGTTCGGTCGCACGATATCCCTTTGTGGCGTGTACTCTCGCGACGATTGAAAAGCGAGCGTGACCTTTCGCGAGCGTTGAAAACAAGCGACTCTTATCCGAGGACGAGTGGCGAGGGACGAAAATATCTACGGTTTTAGCGTGACCGTTTGCTTGCTCGCTCGCTCGCTCGTCCGTCTGTTCATTCGTACTACGTATACGCGATCGAATCGATAAATTAATAATACGAGTCCACCGTCTTTCACAGGCTGCATAATGGCGACGTTCCCGCTCTAAACGCGATCTTCATTTCGATAGTAACGTTAAGCGCGCTGGTTGTTCGCAATTATTGACATCGATAGTAGCTGACGGAGAGTTCTCCGCTGCCGGATGGGGGGTGACTCTCTCTCTCTATACTCTGCTAATAGGAAGTCGCGGATGCCGTAGTCGTGAGCGAGGTCACGAGATCGGCACTGCGGCGACTCGCGAATAGTACAACCACCACGACCACCACGACGACGACCACCACGACGACGACGACGACGACGACGACGGTGGCTGGTGGCTGGTGTGTGCTAAGTGGCGACCCTGGCCTTGATTCCAGTATACCTTGCGTTTTTCGATTAAGGTAGCGTGTTCGCGCGTCATAATGTTGATCCATCTAATAACGAGGATGAACAAAGCCCTGGCCAAGCCGATACTCCCGTAGTCTCGACGGAAGTTGCGGCGGAACCGCGAGTCGCGGCGTGTGGAAGCCGCGCGTGAATCATTACCGCGAAAGACGCGTCGCGCGAAAAATACCCCGGACTGATTTCCCTAACCTCTCGGTAAGCTAACTAACAGTCAAATTAAATCATACATCTGTCTCTTAATCTAATTAGAAGGAAAGAAGGACACATGATTTAACACTATGATGTTTCATTACTACGATGTTTCGTATCAATAACTTCTAAACATTTTAAGAATAAAGCTTAATCTCTACAATGTACTTTTTGCTTCCTGTTTCGTGTTCTCTATCTTTTCTGGCTTAAAGCTTAAAATTTAAATGAGAAAAAGATAAAGAGAAAAAACAAGAAGCAAAGAACATATTGTAGATCAAGCTTAAACTATGAGAAACAGAAGTATTGATAACAAGAAGACTTTAAATGAGTCAAAATGTCTCTATCGGACATTCTAGTGTCAACTGTTAGCTTATCAAGAAATTGGAAATATCGGACCTAGGAAACTTGTTCTACAGCCCTGGATCAAGTTGATCCCAATCAGTTATGATTTGCATAAGATAGTGTTAGTGAGTTCTAATTATTAATATATTCCGATTAATAACCTTTATTATTAACCTTCCACAACACAACTTCTTTTTGCTACCTTTAGAGTGACGAACAGAGTTATTAGTATTTTCCTCGGGTTTTCTCGTCTGAAAAAGTGCTCGAAAAGACCCTTAAAAATTATTCAAATTTCCTTTACTCTTTTACATAGCTTTTATATAGAAAGTACATTGCCGTATCTTAATTATTTTTAGACAAAAATATCCCGAGAAACGAGCAGCACCTCTTAGCCCGAACACAAATGATCCTGGTTGCCGTCTCCGAGGATTAATAAGATCCTGTGATTTCCACGCTGCATGACTCCGTCTCTAAATTGCTTGGAGTGGAGTCTCATTTAAAATGTGAGTGAAAAGTGGCAGTATTTTCGCTCGAGGTAATAGCGAAAATATATGCTACTCGAAATCGCAAGAGTGAACATCATTCGTATGACGGTGAAGTACATGAGACCTAATTTCGAGTGGTAATATTCACTCGACAATTCAGAGTGGAGAATTCACTTTATATGATTGAAAAGTCACTCGAATTCAGCTCGAAAGTCACTTCGAGCTACTTGGTGGTCACTTCACTTTCCGAGTGAAATTCCATTGCAAGAAATTTGAAGAATATCAGGACAGTATCAGAAGAAGTAACATCACCTTCTACAAATCGATCAGGTAATTGATCGAAATCAAGATAATGTGATAAATTTCTAACAAGAACACATGTGTTACAATTATTTTCATTTATCCGTCAAATGTGCGCGCTCCTCTCCCATGGGATAACGAAAGGTCAAACATCTATCTATCTCTGGTAAGGCCGATTGCTCCCCTCGAAGAGAGGATGTTTCGGCCATTTATATTCCTCATGATCGGAACTGAGCGATGGCGCGTGGCTGGGCTCGATTAAATCGATCATTCGAGCGACCGCGTTCACCGTTCACCGAAATTCCGTTATCATCGCGACACTACTAATGGCGACCGGCGATGGATTCGATAAGCAGTTGGATGCTGCCATATATACGGCCGTTTATCGCTCACATGGTAGAATCGCGCTGATCGATCTAGCAGCCCGCAAATATTTGAGCGTGTTTTCCGTGTCATAACTATCGACACTATCATTTTCGTGGCGTGGAAAATTCAAGCGAGCGCACGCAATGACGCGCGGCGGCACGCGCGATCTCAACCTTGACCTTGTGGACGAGCGTCGACATTCGCGCCAAGTAGTTTACGGGCGGGAATTACGACACAGCTCGGACATCGCTTCCTTCACGACGGTAATCTTGTTCGGACGGTGCGCGAGATTGTCTCTCGAGAGCGAATCGATCTCTCGAGAGCTGCTCACGACTGCGTGAAACCATGCGTTAAAACGAGACGACAAAAATCGCGAGAGAGACAGAGATTTACTAAGCCTTGGGATAAAATCCTTTCAAGCGTGCATGCAATAATAGAAGCACAATGTATGTATGTGTATGTGTATGTGTCTAAAAGCATGGTGAAAAAAAAAACAGAATGTTATAGTAGACATAACGCAATAATATAAAATTACAAATGAAAAAATAAAAAGAAAAGAAAAAATTTAAGAAGGCGCATTGAGAAAGCGATGAAAAACTCAATTAGAGGCACGATAATGTCGATAACAAGATATGAAAAATAATCACAAATAATAGGAAAATAATGGCAGAATGAAATAATACAACAAGAATATACGAATACATAAGCGCTATTGTAATAATTTCACGCTAAAACACTAAAACGGGTCCTGCAACTCACAACTTAAGATTTGTGAAAGAGAGAGAGAGAGAGAGAGAGAGAGAGAGAGAGAGAGAGAGAGAGAGAGAGAGA